ACATACCACCATCAKTGRYACAACTGTCACTTGRTSWWTTCAATCWACCMCTTCWAGKTGGRCAYATACCACAATCAGTGACACAATTGTTGATAGGTGGTAGATTCGACCGACCACTTCAAGTTGGACACATACCACAATCAGTGACACATTTGTCAATGCTATGTTTCAGCCAACCACTACAAGCTGGACACATACCACAATCAGTGACACATTTGTCAATGAATAATTTCAACCAGCCACTCAAAGTTGGACATATACCACAATCAGTAACACAATTATCAATGGACAGTTTCAACCAACCACTCCAAGTTGGACACATACCACAATCAGTGACACAACTGTCACTTTGTGAATTCGATCAACCACTTCAAGTCGGACATTTTCCACCGTCAGTGATACATCTGGAATTGATACTTTTCAATCATCCTCTCCAAGTTGGACACATGCCACAATATGTTTCAAGTTTAACTTTTGGCAGAGAGTTCAATCAACTTCTCAAAACAGAGTACATTCCATCAGTTAGATCACTGTCTATTCAATGCCCGCAATTTTCTCCCGAGAATATCAGTTTGCTTGGACACAGCTATCTCAATGAGCTTAGTATTGTCCACGTAGCTACAAAAAGCAATTGTAAATCTGTTGRGCCATCCTCACTATTACACCAGGAGACTATTTCTCATCTTTCAAAGATGAATACTCTTTTGCACTTAATCATCAAGATTAAGCCGAGAAAGTATCTCAAAGGAATAGATGGTGGGATGCCATTCTCTATTTTGTATTCATTGCTCAAGTTTATTCCAACAATCACTCTACAATTCTGCCATGAGTATAGTGATGCCTTTAACTTTGAAATCATTTGGAGACTGGTCGACGACAAAACAGCACTACTAGTCCCTATATCGGACGCAGATGATAATGGAGTTGTACTATTTTGGAAGTTTGCAACACACAAGCCTGGGCCGGTCACCACATTCAAAAAATAAAATAAAAAAAAAAAAAAAAAAAAAAAAAAAAGTATTCTTACTGTCCCGAACTATGAT